TTTTCTTCCAGAAGTTTTCTCATGTAAGGCTGTAAATAGACTAGCATTGTATTTATCTTTGCCTTCAAGCCTTCTTTGCCTTGGCTTTCGCCATCACCTCCAGCTTCTTTTCCTTGCTATTTTGGAATACAATCCTTCCTGTTCAACCGTGTTCTGATTTGGGTTACTTGTCCAGTGTTTTGTGTCAAGAATACTAAGTAATAAGATTTAGCCGGGAAATATCTTAAGCAACCGTTACAACACTATGGGACTTAACGAACGCACTCGAACAAGGTAACTCTTTCATAACCTTTGATTTTTTTCGCAAACACAGACACTTTCGTATCCTTGTTTGCTGGAAGGGGACTACTGTAGTGCGTACACATAAACTTGAGTTCGCTCATATTTAATTTGATTAAGCCTTTTCGATTAACTTATATAACCAAGCTATTTGTATAGCAACAACCCATATGTACCATTGGTACTTTTTATTGTCTGGTTTGTATGAGCTTGTACAACTGAGCATTGCTTATATCTACGCGCTTACTCATCCTTTTCGTTTTAATGTTCATCTCCTAATATCCCTATGGACTCACATGACTTGTCTCGCTTGCTTTTGATCTTGTCAGTCATTTGTCGCTTTTATTCATGTGTGTGCATGCCTATTTTGCTTGTCATATGTCTGTCTTGTTTTTGTCTGACTATATATTCTAAGTCATGCTGTATCTCTTGGAGTTTGCTCAACAGCCTTCTCCAATTCACGTCGCTTCATTAGTTTTATCCACTGCTTCTCCACATCACTCCATACGATTCGCTTCAGTCGCTCGCCAGTGCTCTACAAATGGTGACCCCGACGTTTCCAGGATTAATTTGACGATTCCGGCGACAAATGGAATACAACCAACCAGTTGGTAATCTCGAGGACAAATCGAACAGAACCACTAACTGAAAATCCCGACGCTGCACGTCGACAAGGCAGCTCAGGAAGTTAATGAATTCGCTGAACGGATCAACGAACCAGACTCAATATACAACACAGACAGCGCACTCTCTCATCGGACGAAAGCAGCAAAGCCACTTCAGCGGTTATATGCACATACAAAAACCGTATTATCTTATTATCATTTCGATTACGTATCAACTCGTTGCATGAATATATTGCTCGAATTATCCAATTATAGTTATCATTATCGTATTAATGTGAAAGAACTATTATTCTGATTCATGATGATATTATATTATAACGGTAATGGAGTTATCTTAATTGTAACGAATCGCGACTCGCGGAATTATTTTACTGCTTTCGATAACACGAACGACTTTCCTACTTGAACACTGGCTCAATGACGATTGTTATCCATTATCATTTCCGTGGCTATACGATTGTCGCATTGGAGATGTCTTCGATGTACTCATCAGCTGCTCGTACCTCGAAAATCTTACAGCCTGCTAAGTAAATTGGTGGTATGATCAGTCGTACAAGCTCATACAAACCAGACAATAAAAAGTACCAATGGTACATATGGGTTGTTGCTATACAAATAGCTTGGTTATATAAGTTAATCGAAAAGGCTTAATCAAATTAAATATGAGCGAACTCAAGTTTATGTGTACGCACTACAGTAGTCCCCTTCCAGCAAACAAGGATACGAAAGTGTCTGTGTTTGCGAAAAAAATCAAAGGTTATGAAAGAGTTACCTTGTTCGAGTGCGTTCGTTAAGTCCCATAGTGTTGTAACGGTTGCTTAAGATATTTCCCGGCTAAATCTTATTACTTAGTATTCTTGACACAAAACACTGGACAAGTAACCCAAATCAGAACACGGTTGAACAGGAAGGATTGTATTCCAAAATAGCAAGGAAAAGAAGCTGGAGGTGATGGCGAAAGCCAAGGCAAAGAAGGCTTGAAGGCAAAGATAAATACAATGCTAGTCTATTTACAGCCTTACATGAGAAAACTTCTGGAAGAAAATTTACATGATCGACTGGACTGGATTTGACCAATCAGCATGCAGCTAATAATACGAGAATTTTCTATCCTGTTCTCCAAGCTTCGATCAGGCGCTGATTGGATAGAAATTTAGCCAATCAGCGCGCAGCAACGTAGTCGTGTTTTAATTTCATCTATGTCCCACTAACACCTCCCCTTTGAGAAGATTCGTAGGATCTGGTGCTAGGGTCCAACTGCAACCGAGTGACTGGCTTGTACTTTCGATTACTCCATCTTCTCGGCAATAACGAAGTTGTGTCACTCTTTACTTGCACAGAAACTGACTTGTGTGTTCCAGGCGTTTTGATTTCGAAGGTGTCCAGCAGAACGTCGAGGGGTAGTCGGTGCCGAGTCCCGTTGCTGGCTATCGAAGTTGCTTTCAGTTGGTTAGCATGACGTACCCAAACTTCTGAGCCAACTGACACCTCATAAGTCACATTCCCTTTCTTTTTTAAAATCCGACCAGCTGTCCATGCAGGATGTTTTCCACGATAGTCCATAGCTAGTACTTTCTGGCCCACTGTGAACGATCGTCTTTTTGCCCCATGGTGTCGATTGAACTGTTTCTCCATCGACAGGTTTCGCTGAGGCTCAAGAGCTGGTGTAGGACGGATGACATCAAAATGTGTTCGTAATTTTCTACCAAGTAGAGCTTCCGCAGGTGAGACTCCGTCAATCGTCTGAGGGTTCGGTGTAGAGCGATAAATAAGCAGGAACCTCTCTAAGATCTCTTCGGTGGTCCCCTCCCCTTTGGATTTTTTTAGAGCATTTTTAAATGTGCTCACAAAGCGTTCTACTTGACCATTTGATTGCGGATGGAATGGAGGTGTTCGGACGTGATAAATTCCGTTCTGCCGGCAAAATTGCGAGAAGACTGCGGACGTAAACTGTGTCCCGTTGTCAGTAACTATCAATTCCGGGACTCCGAAACGACTGAATAGTTTACGTAATCTACTGACTGTACAGCTTGCAGTTGGGTGTTTCATGAAGAAAATTTCTGGCCACTTACTGTACGCATCAACTACCAGAAGGTAAGTTTGTCCATGAAGTGGGCCAGCAAAGTCCAAATGTATACGCTGCCACGGTGACTGTGGTATTGGCCATGATTGCAACTCTGCTTTGCGCGGTGCTTTTGCTGCTAATGCACATTTGGTACACGAACGAGATAGCTGCTCTAGCTGGGTGTCTAAGTGCGGCCAGTATACATAACTTCGTGCTAGTGCTTTCATGCGATTTATTCCAGGATGTCCCATGTGCAACTGTTTTAGCACTGCTGGTTGTAGCTTCGCTGGAATTATGACTCGTTCGGCAAACAGCAGGCAGTCGTCGATGATTGAAAGAGAGAGTCTACGCTGGTAAAACTGTTGAAGCTCTGAAGAGTTGATCTTCGAAGGCCAACCTTCCAGGTGAAACTTTCTAACTTCTTGTAGAAGTGGGTCTCGAAGAGTTTCTTCTCTGACTTCCTCTGACGACACTGGAGTGTTTCGAATGGCGTCTGCTACTACACTCCTTATTTCTGGGTCTACTGCTGTTGAGGCAATGATTATGTCCTCTGGTTCAGGATGCTGAACTCCAATTAATCGAGAGAGAGCGTCCGCTTGACCGATAGTATTTGTCGACTGATACTTGATATTGAAATCATAACTCAGGAGCATCGTTGCCCAGCGCTGTAATCTATTAGCCGTATAGACAGGGATTCCTTTCTTAGAACCAAAGATTGCAATCAAAGGTTTGTGATCTGTCAGTAGCGTAAACTTACGACCATAGAGCATTTTATGAAATCTTTTGACAGCGAAAATAATTGCAAGAGCTTCTTTCTCAATTTGACTGTAATTTCGCTCGGCTGGGGTGAGTGATCTGGCAGCATGGGCAATTGTTTTCTCTGATTTATCCGGAAACACATGAGATATTACTGCTCCAACTCCATAACTAGAGGCGTCAGATGCAACAACAATTCCCAAGCTGGGGTCGAAGTGTGTCAAAAGAAGCTTTGAGCTGAGCATCGACTTGACTTTATCGAAAGATGCTTGACATTCTGCTGACCACTGCCAAGGTTTATCTTTTGATAGTAATTCATTCAAGGGACCTCTCACTCGATGCATTTCAGGCAGGAATGCGCTGTAATGACTGATTAACCCCAAGAAAGATCTTAATGAAGAGACATCAGTTGGTGCAGGCATCTTCTGAATGGCTTCGATGTTGGCTGGGTCTGGTCGGCGACCGTTCTTATATAAGATGAAACCAAGGTATTTGATCGAATGCATGAAGAAGATACATTTTTCTTCACGTAGTTGGAAACCATACTCCAGCACTCGGTTAAGGACTTGATGTAGTCGATCTGACAGTTCACTGTCACTTGAACCCATATCTATGATATCATCTAGATAAGCTGCTGTCCCAGGTATACCTGTTAGCATCGTATCCATTATTTGCTGAAAGATAGCCGGTGCGGTCTTGATGCCAAATGCTAGACGAGTGTATTGAAATAGCCCTCGATGGGTGTTAATAGTCAGGAGCTCTCTACTATC